CTTCTTCTTCTTCTTCTTCTTCTTCTTCTTCTTCTTCTTCTTCTTCTTCTTCTTCTTCTTCTTCTTCTTCTTCTTCTTCCTCTTCCTCTTCCTCTTCCTCTTCTTCCTCTTCTTCCTCTTCTTCCTCTTCTTCCTCTTCCTCCCAAACCTCTTGTTGTTGTATTTGCTGGTAGGTAGAAATCGCCATTTCTAAAAAATGAAAAACAGCTCCCAGAGAGCCCTTGCCTTCTTGTTCTTCTTCCTTTAATTTTTCAAATTCCATTTTTAATTCATCCACCGATAATGCCATTTTTTCTTTCTTTTCTTTTTTTAAAACAACCCAAATGTTTTTAATCTTAGAATAATTTCCAAACGTCCCAAAGTCATCAAGCAATCCAAACAGACACGAAATATTTCATCTTCTTCCCTTTGCACTTTCTCCTCCTGGGGCAGTATCAATCACAAGTCTCAAAATGTATTTTAAAGCCTTATTACCATTAGTTTCTGATCTTATAATCTTCAAGGCGTCTCCTCCAACAAAGTCTTAATAAAAAATTTTTTTTTTTAATCCTCTCCCTTCCCACTTATAACAAAGAGCTTTTGGTTTTTACCTTCTGTAGAAAAGCAGGTTTTTCAGTGTCCATTTGCTATCTCCGTAAGGAAGGAGAGTGAACTTTCCCTTTTAGAACTTTCATTCGCCGCTTGACAGCCTCCTTTGGAAACAATGTATCATTGAAAAAGTCAGATTTCCAGGGTATTTAAATGAGTCTTAATGTCCCGGTTCAGCCAACAAACTTTCACTTTCTAATTCTTCCTCCTGCACAAATCTTGTCCGGTTGTAGATTTCTTTGTGGCGGCCATTACTGACTGCCGCTCCACCGCCTCTGGAAAAAGGAGTCTAGCCGGCTGGGGAAAGGGGTTGCGATGTCCCCAGACCCCTATCTGGATCTCCTCTGTCTTCCGTTACCTATCCAGGGTAACGACAACCCCCAAATCCAATCGGATCGGGGGTACTTCAGCAGCGAGCGCAGCAGGGACCTGCAGAGTCGCGGATTCCTGCCGCCACCGAAGCCTTGCAACCGCTCAAACCTGTTATTCTGTTACCGTAGTACAGATGTGACAGGACACACAGCTGAATAACAATGGCTAATCACTTTAACAGCAAATTTCCTGGTCCCTGTTGTGCATTGTGGCCATAAGTAAGAAAGAGCTGTAGCACAAAAATAAAATGTAATAGCAAATATTCAAGCTAGGATGGCAATAATCTCTCAGCAACTTGAGAATCCCTGTTTTCCTTTTCCACTGCAGGTGACCTTATGCTCAAACACAGTGAAGACTTATGAAACTGCCCTGGTAGTGGACATCAAGGGTAGTGGTGAGGATGTGCTGGCCCTCCCAATTTCAGCAAGGTACTCTTTATATAATTTCTGCAATGCTGCGGCCTCTATGGGGATTCCAGTCTTTGTCTCCTTTCTAAACAAGATACATAGAAGGGAATGGAGTGAATAAGGAATGGGACGACTCACTGCAGCCAGGTGGGTGTGGCTGGCTGGCTGTGGCCAGGTTAACACCGAGGATTAGATGCAGCCGGCTTGGGGTGACTAGGTAGGTGTGCCAGGTTTACCAAACCATATGGGTGTGGCCGGGTGGATGCAGAAAAAATTGCCCAGTGCAATTTGTTCTGGATGTGGATGTGGAGCAACTCATAACACTGCCAGAACAAAAATCACCCAGAGACATGCTGGCAAATGGGAAGCAAGGAAGTGGCCAAGTTTGAAAGGCAAGAGGTGGATTCCCCCCCCCCCCCACGCACACCTATACACACCCATTTGCAGAAATGCTCCATTTTTCTTTCTCCTTTCCAATGAGAGGTTTCCTTCCCTTTGGCAGGGAAGAACAATGGCTGGGTTTATTTATCTCAACCCTCCCACTATTTGCAGAAACACTCAATTTTTCTTTCTCCTGTCTGAGGAGACCTTATATCATTTCAGACAAGTGATTGTCTAGTCTCTTAGAATGCAGGAGAATGCTCTTAGAATGCAAGGCTTGGGCTATCATTGTGGTTTTTCATACTCTTATGATTTATGTTCTTATGCTACCTTTGCTTGTAATCTTGGCAGGATGGCCAGATAAGGATCTCTTTCCTAATAGATCTAAAGGAATGATGTGCATACCCATAAATAAAAGGGACATTTGCCTAGTTCATATTAAAAAAAAGAATATCAGAATGTAGACCAACAAACAAAGAAACCAGAATTCTACATTTAGTTGGGATTGTTTATGACATTAACTGTGGGAAAACTGATAAGGAAGACATAGACCAATAAAATCAGGAAACCAAAGAAAACAAACTGGTACATCTTCTATTCACTGTGACTTTCTCAACACTACATGTGGAAGCAGAATATTTCAAGAGAAATAAATGGCTGGAATAAGAACCAGAGAAAAATATTAGCTTTGATTAAATGCATTGTGTTAATCTAAAAATTTAGTACCTGGATAAAGCATAACACATGGTATAACTAGTTTGCCATATCAAAAAAGAATATCAGAACATAGAGAGAGATGGTGGCATCCAAAATCAAATTGTTAGCATTTGAGGGGAGAGGGGGAGTCATAGGAAGAACTACGTCAAACTGCACTGAAAATCTAAAACATCCACTCTCCCCTCCTTCTGTTTATCTCCTCCTCCATTTCCCCCACTCCCCAATTTTGTGGATTTGACCAATGATGAATCCCTTCCCTGATTCAGTGAGATTGTTGCAAACGGATGTGCTTTGTGAGGATTTATAACTCTAAAGAAATGTAGAAATTACAGTCAGTACTCATCATCCTCACATGCTCCATGTTGTGAACCAGACACCAAACTTTGCAGGGAAACCTCTTGTCGGAAAAGAGAGAGAAAAATGGAGTGTTTGTGCAAATGGGGGAGGGGGGATAAATCCACCCAGCCAACCCCCTTTCTTGCCAAACTTTGCAAGGAAACCTCTTCTTGGAAAGGAGAAAGAAAAATGGAGTGTTTCTGCAAATGGGAGTGGGGAGAAATCCACCTCTTGCCATTCAAATTTTGCCACTACCCTACTTCCCGTTTGCCAGCACATCTCCAGGTGATTTTTGTTCTGGCTGGGCACCGAGTTGGCTCCACATCCAATTGCCCAGCTGGATGTTTTGTTTTTTTTAATAAAATTTATAAATTTTTATAAAATTAGTTTTTAAAACAAACATAAACAAACAAGACATAAAAACATCAGGCCATCTTCCATATATGTACATACAGTGTGCCGGTTGGTTTACAAATTGTTTTGTGCTTCCATTTCGTAGTCTTCAATTACAATTAGATTGTATATGATCTCATATTTTCAATCCAATATTAAATACGTTGGTATCATTATTAATCAATCATTTGACTATACTTTTATTCATTCATGCTTTGGAAAATGATCATATTTTACTGAGGGGCGGAGGGGTGGAGCTGGCGTCGCGACGATACGGCATGTGATCTTGGAGGTCTGAGATCGCTGCCAATATCTTTGCTCCTGGACGATCCTATCGGATCTAAACCGTCCCGAAGAGACGGTGAAAATGAAGAGCGCATCCTGTCGATCCCAGGGACACCGCAAAGTCCCTGGTAGATCCAGGAGAAGCTCTTCTTGCCAGTGGCAAAGAGGCAGCCATTAAAGCTGCCGAAGTTGGGACAGCTCCGAAACGGAAGAGAACAGAAAGAGAGAGTGTGCCGATTTGGTGAGAACTTTTTCTTTATTCTAAGATCTGAAAAGACACTCTAAGGAAAAGAAAGAATCTGTAAAAGTTTTGACAGAAGTGATTAAGCGGCGATTTTAAACAGGAATGTCAAAGTAATGTTTTTTTTCTCATTGCTGGATTTTCTATACATGATCTTATATTTTGAAACTGGACTGTTTTTTTCTTTTTCATCTATTTTTTGCTCCTTTTTGATTTTGTAACTATTTTAGGCTAGAGACTCCCATTTAGTTATTTCATTTTTTAAAAATATCTTTTTCTTTTTTTATTATTATTAATTCTTATTGCATTTTGCTTGGAAAAGGAGGGGGAAAGTGAAAGCAAAGAAACTTTGTAACACTGCCAACTAGAGGCTTGGAAATATTCTATTTCTCTTGTGACCAGACAAAGCTGAGAAAGAAAGAATTGAGACTTTCTTTCAAGGACATTGCTATTCGATAAGATAGAGGGAAGAGCATGGGAGAGTATTATTGCAGGTGCTCTTCTGGGTTTCTATCAACAGCTGGAGTCTGGTGCTGAAGGTTATAGAAAAAGAAAAGGTGATAAGTTTCTGAAGAAGAGTGTTATAACAAGAGCCTTGGATAACTAAACAAAGTGCAGTGTGTTTTCTTGATTTTTTTTTAAGCTGTGCTACCCCTCCTCAACAGTTTACTTTTTGAAATAGCTATTTTGACTTTTAGTTCTTTGGAACTTGTCTTTGCTTGTTTTTTCTTTATGCTTGTCTTTGGAAGTTAATTTTTTACGTTTGTTTTTTATTTTAAAAGAAAAGTTTTAGTATTAATGATTCCCTTCCTTTTCTTTTTAAGGGAGTAGCCTTTTTTTTTTCTTTTTCTCTTTTTGATTTTCTGGTATTTTTGTTTTTCCATCTACCTCCAATACTGGTTTTTTCTTTATTTTTATCTTCCTGGCTTTTTTTTTCTTTTTATCTTCCTGGCTTTTTTTTT